TGTTCGCCATATTTCCTTTTTAATACAATCTGCGTTACAAGCCACCAACCCAAACCAGTGTCCTTCCCTAATAACTCTCAGCAAGGGATAGTCCCACATTTCCAGGACAAAATTATCCCGTCCTTTGTGTTTTGTTTTAAACTGTACCAAGCAATTGGTACTATTTCCTTCTTTATTCCTTTATAAAGTATTTAAAGCCCAGATTAATTATATTTAACGATACAGTCAGCGTTAAAGGGATCTCTCTCTCTCTCTCGCTCTCCTTTTTTCTTTCAGTTGACGTTTCTGTCGAAGTCTGCAAGATTCTTGCTTTGTTAGGTTTTGTTTTGAATGAACATTTTTTTCCTACACATTCGCTTTGGAACTCTAGGGTTGGATCCTCCTGAAAAACAAAACAAAGCTCTGAAACAGAAGAGCTCACTTTTCTCTTGTATGAGACATTGAACACTTAAATTCCCCCCAAAGCTCTCAAGAACGTGGCCTTCTGGGAAGTTCTCCTGAAGAGAGTATCAATTGAAAGACAATGGCTCCCCATGGAATTTTTTTCCCTGTCGCTTCTGATGTAAGGGAACTGGCCCTCTGCAAGGACTTTGCCCAGGGAAATTGCCAACAAGGAAATTGCCCAGGCCGTCTGCAAGAACGTGGGAAGTTCTCCTGAAGTGAGTCCCAGTCGAAAGACTGTTCCCCATGGATTTTTTCTCCTGTTAGGAGCGATATGCTTTCTCAAGTCGCTTCTGGTGTGAGAGAACTGGCCTTCTGCAAGGACATTACCCAGGGAACACCTGCAAGAAAATTGCCCAGGCCGTCTACTAGGAAGTGGGAAGTTCTTCTGAAGTGAGTCCCAGTTGAAAGACAATAGCTTCCCATGGAATTTTTTTTTCCTGTCAGGAGCGATTTGCTTTCTCAAGTCGCTTTTGGTGTGAGAAAACTGGCCGTCTGCAAGGACGTTGCCAGGGAACGGGAAGCTGCCCAGGCAGTCTGCTAGGACGTGGGAAGTTCTCCTGAATTGAGTGCCAGATGAAAGACAATGGCTCTCCAATTAATTTTTGTCCTGTCAGGAGTTACTTGAGAAACTTCAAGTTGTTTCTGGTGTGAGAGAAACAGTAGTCTTCAAGGACGTTGCCCAGGGAACGCCTGCAAAGACTGCCCAGGCCGTCTGCAAGGACGATGCCCAGGTGATAGAAGGGAGCTCACCGTTCAAACCTCAGACCTATCGCTCAGCAGCCCTACCAGCAGCACAAGGGTTTAATCCATTTCACTACTGGGGCTCCCATTGAAATGAACAGCAACCACCCATTTCTATGTGTCTCTCAGGTTTCCGAAATCAACTTCCCCAAGGATCCGTGATTTGAAGCAAAATGGTTTCCTCCAACCAGATAATCAGGAATCCTTGACATGAAAGCAAACATACTGGGACTGGGACTATTCTGGCATGAACTTCCCACATTCTCATTGTTTGGAGTAGAAAAAACAAAACACCAAGCCGAGCAAATGTCAGTAAAGCTTCCTTTCCCGGTAAGTATCCTCCGAACCTATTTTAAATCAAATTTAATTGCGTGCTGGATGAAGAGTGGGGAGCATATCGCCTTTGACTTGGACTGACACTGGATACAAATTAGTCTCTCTTTCTCTTTCTCTCCTCCTCCTTCTCTAATCCTTTTTATTTGCATCACAATCGAATTGGACGTATCATCTGGAAAGATTATTATTATTATTATTATTATTTCGTATCAAAAGCACTGCATAAATTAGTATAAAACTAGGAAAAATAGAAGGAGCGTAGGCGGCTAAATATCTTTAGACCAAAAACGGGCAACAGTGATGGCATTGTCTGTAGCCTCCAACAATTCTTCCTCTGTACATGAGGCAGGGCATAGTGGACAAGCATACAGATGCCGGGTTGTCTGTTCTGCTCCACAGTCACACAAGGTGTGGGGAAGACTGAAGTGCCAAGAATCCTAATCGCAAACAACAATCGCAATAGGTTGGAAAACGTAGATATCTTTTAAAGTTGTGACTCGGGGAAAGACAACAGTGCCTATGTTTCAATGTATTGACGGTCTTGTGGGATTAACATAACTCAAAAACCACTGGACGAATTGACACCAAATTTGGACACAACACACCTATCAGGTCAACAAGTCATGGAAACACTGAAAAACACAGTGGAAAGGTCTTAAAAAGCCAAAAACCCAAAAGATGCTACAGCGCATGTGCAAAAATGTATTCCCCCCCCCCAAACAAAACACACAATAGCATATCCACACTCCCTTCTGGACTACAGTTCCCAGCATCCCCTAGACCAGGCCCTTTAGGAGAGGAGGATAATACAAATGCACCGCTTCCAAGATGGAAGCTTTCTTCTCCTTGGATCTCTTTGAGAGTATCCCAATCCCTGCATATTTCCAATTTCCTATTTCTGGACTGCAACTCCCACCAATCCTCCAGATAGATTGATTTGTTTTGTTGTTCATTCGTTCAGTCGTCTCCGACTCTTCGTGACCTCATGGACCAGCCCACGCCAGAGCTCCCTGTCGGCCGTCACCACCCCCAGCTCCTTCAAGGTCAGTCCAGTCACTTCAAGGATGCCATCCATCCATCTTGCCCGTGGTCGGCCCCTCTTCCTTTTGCCTTCCACTTTCCCCAGCATAATTGTCTTCTCTAGGATCCTCCAGATAGATTAGATAAAGATAGATAGATTGATCAGGAGGACTGCTGGGAGTTGCAGTCCAAGAATAGGTAGAGAAGGAAGAAATGGGAGAAATAGGAAGGAAAGAAAAGGAGGGGGGAAGGAAGGGAAGAGGAAGAGAAGGAAGGAAGGAGAGAAAAAAAAAGGAGGAAGGAGAGGGGAAGGAAGGAGAAAGAGAAAGAAAGAAGGAAGGAAAAAAAGAAAGAAAGAGGGAGGGAGGGAGGGCAGGTTGGCCACAGCAAAGCGTGGCGGGTACAGCTAGTAAGGAATATAATAGGAAGGACAAGTACAAAGAGAAGGAAATGATAGAGCCATGTCAAAGAATAACGTCGGATTCAAAACCTCGCAAAGAACGAGGGAGAAGGAAGTGAGAATGCTGTAGGAGTGGGGAAGGCGATAGGGAAAGGGAAGGGGTTTGAGGCCAGAAAGAGGCACCCGATTCGGTTGTAATTTGCGACTCGGGGAAAGAGAGAAGCATTTTGCGCCCTGTCTGTCACTTAATCGCTTCCCTCGGCGGCTTGTTAGCGTTTGGCAGCTCTCTGGGCTGAGAAGGATCTCGCCAGAGAGACGTGAGAGAGAGAAAGAGAGAGAGAGAAGAGGGGGAAACAATCACAAGAACAGCCAGGCCTCTTTTGCATAATCCCGGCGCTGTGGTCGCCATCCAGCAACCGGCAAGGGCAATCCCTGCTTGGAAAGCCCCCTTCGGGTTTACCTTTGCCCATTTCGTTCCCTCCTTCGTGTCCTTATTCTCATCGCCTCTCGGAGGCCAAAGTACAAATATTGAGCTTTTATCCTTTGTTGTTGTTTTTTTAACAAAGGGGAAACTATAGGGAGAGGTGACATTTCAAGGATTAGGGGGTAAGGGAAAGAGGAAAGAACCCAGCAAAATATGCAGTGTTGTTCTTTTCCATTTGCTCTTGACATCCTCCTCAATTGTTGTTCATTCGTTCAGTCGCTTCCGACACCGACCGTCACCACCCCCAGCTCCTCAATACTATCAGCCGTTTTTAAACCCACCGGAATAACGAACTGGAAATCCACAGAGGCCCTTCGGTTTTTGTTTTCCTTTTTTTTTTAATCTGGCAAAGCATAGATCTTTACTTTCATTAGGCATACATTTTTTTAATTTTTTTGTTAGGCTCGACAGTCTCTTCAAGTATTCTCCTTTCAGTCGCATACAAAGTTATGCAGAAGCAGTTCATGCCACTGGGTTGTTGTGAGTTTTCCGGGCTGTGTGGTCATGTTTCAGAAGCATTCTCGCCTGACTTTACGCCTGCATCTATGGCAACATTCACACTTGCCTCTTTCTCCCACCCTGGGCATTCCACAGATATATAAACCCCACTAGTTTCCAACACACCTCACAACCTCTGAGGGTGCCTGCCATAGATGTGGGTGAAACGTCAGGAGAGAATGCTTCAGGAACATGGCCATAATGCCCGGAAAATTCACAGCAACCCAGTGATTCCGGCCCTGAAAGCCTTCGACAATACATAGTTCATGCCAGGCTTGGTTGGCATCCTGACCCCGTTAGGCTGGAAATCAACCAGTCCTGCGGAGATTTTTTTTAAAAGTCTGAGCTCTTTTGGAGGGGACAATCGGTGCAAATCATCTTTTCCATCCTTCCTATGGCCCCGTCTACACTGACTTCTTAATGCAGTTTCAAACCGATATTGAAGAAAGTGGTCTCTCTGTGCAGTGGTCCTGGGTTTAGTCTGAGATTTAGATTTTTAGTCTATGTCAGGAGCGACTTGAGAAACTGCAAGTACCCTCTGGTAGAAGAGAATTGGCCGTCTGCGAGGACGTTGCCGGGGGACTCCCGATGTTTAATGTTTTCCAAACCTGTGGGAGGCTTCTCTCAGCTGGAGCTGACAGAGGGAGCTCATCCGCGCCCCCGGATTAGAACCGATGACCTTTCATTGCTCCACGGGGGCTCCTTGAGATTTGGATGGTTATGACACACAAGCCACAGAAAGGGATGCGCATTAAAGAGCTTTGTTTCCCCTGCGTTTGTGAGAGTTTGTTTGGCTTCTGCGGTTTGAATGGCATGGAATAGCCAGTGTAGACGGGGCTTCGTCCAAAGGGTGTTCCTTGGGTGAAGTCCTTTATGCTTTCTATTGTATTTTCCCACGCATCCCGGCGGCACAGAAACCCTTCCATTGAAGGAAAGGAAGAAAAAAGGCAAAACAAAGCGCTGGTTTGGCTCAAAGTTCCCTCCTTGGCGTTTGGGAGAGTCTCATCCCTGTCTGCAATTAAATAACGACGGGGTGGCAGTTCTGGGACCGGGGAGGGAAACGGGGGGGAGGGGGGGAGAGAGAAACCTGAGAGGGCGCTTCCTATCTGGTCAAGGGCACCTCTTCCCGCTGGTCCAGGGCCACCGAGGCGCTCTTGCTCAGCACCGAGGGCGTGAAAGTCAGGAAGGAGTCCGTCCTGGTGCTGGCCGCCGCGCAGGGGAAGTCCGAGGCCGGCGGCGGCCTTTGGGGCAAGCCGTTGCTTTGGCCCCCGCCTCCGTGGCAAGCCAGGCAGGAGCAGGGGCTGCCCGCCGCCGCCCCGCCGCCGCCGCCGCCCAGTCCCTGTGTGGGCCCGGCGTATAGCGAGGGGTGGCGGAAGGCGCAGAGCAGCTCGGGCCGCGGATACGGGTGCGAGAGGACGCGGAAGGTGTCCAGCGGCCGCAGCGGGGAGCCGAAGGGGGAAGCGGCGGCTGCGGCTGCGGCGGCGGAAGCCGAGGCGGCCCCCAGCCCCATCGGGGAGTAATAGGGGAGCGGCAGGTGGGAGGGGAACGGGTAGGGCAGGTTGCCCGTGGCCGCGGCGTGGCTCATCATGTAGCTGTAAAAAGCCGGGTCGGCGGGGTGGGGCCACGTCATGGCCAGGCGCTGCCGCTTGTCCTTCATCCGACGGTTTTGGAACCACACCTGCAAGAAGGGACAGACACAGAGGGGTCAGAGGAAGGGCTTCCAAGGTCACCCCACCCTCACATGAAGACCCTGAGAAGCTTTAGGGAGCGTTTATGTATCATTCCACAGATATGTGCATGTATGTATGCATGTATGGTTTGGATTTGCGGACTCAGACTTGGTTGTGTTAATATTTTGTTGTTCATTGTTCAGTCGCTTCAGACTCTTCCTGACCTCATGGACCATCCCACGCCAGAGCTCCCTGTCGGGCCGTCACCTCCCAGAGGTCATTCAGACTCAAACCAGTCGCTTCAAGGATACCATCCACCCATCTTGCCCTCTTCCTTTTTCCTTCCATTTTCCCCTACATCATTGTCTTCTCTAAGCTTTCCTTTCATTTTCATTTTAATATTTTTAATATTTTAAGGGCCAATATTTTAGTGCATTTTAATATATCTTAATGTATTTTTTTTACTATTGTTGACCTGTTTATGTTCATTGTCCTGCTTTGACTGTTTCTTTGTCGGCATCTAATGATTGCCAATTGTAAACCGCCCTGAGTCCCCCTTCAGGGGTTGAGAAGGGCGGGATACAAATGCTCTAAATAATAAATCTATATAAATAAAAATGTAATGTTCGTTTGTGGGATTAACATAACCCCAAAACCACTGGACGGATTGACACCAAATTTGGACACAATACACCTGTCAGGCCAACAAGTGACCACCACTCATAAAAATACTGAAAACCACAGAGGAAGAGACTTAAAAAGCAAAAAAAAAATGCATGCGCAAAACCACATATATACAAATACACACACACACACATATATATATACACACACACATATACACACATAAAACACATATATGCGTGCACACACAAAACGTATATACACAGACTGGGTCACAAAAACGTATGGCAGGGGACTGCTAGTAAATAAATAAACAAACAAATAAATAAAATGTACGCACACATACATATATACCCTAACCCTAAAGCTTCTCAATGTCTTCATTTGAGGGTGGTGTGACCCTATGTGTGTACACACACACACACACATCTGTGGAATGATATATCAAAGCTCCCTAAAGCTTCTCAAGGTCTTCATTTGAGGTCTTCACCACCCTCAAATACATACATACATACATATCTGAGGGATGATATATAAAAGCTCCCTAATGCCTCTCAAGGTCAGCTTTATAATGGCAAACCTCCCTAACACTGGGTTGCTGTGAGTTTTCCCTGCTCTATGGCCATGTTCCAGAAGCATTCTCTCCTGACGTTTCACCCACATCTGTGACAGACATCCTCAGAGGTTGTGAGGTATATTGGAAACTAAGCAAGTGTGGTTTATACATCAGCGGAATGAGATATATATCTATATCTATCTATAAAAATAGATATATATCTATCTCATTCCATAGTTATATAAACCTCACTTCCCTATGTATAGGGCTTCTTCCTTACTTACAGCTCACCCTGTATTTGGGGACACTAACATCCTTGAAGTTCTTAGGCTCTCTAAGGCTGGAGCTATATATAATGGTATATATAATGCAGTCTGAGTTGCATTATATGTAATACAATTTTTGTTCCTGGGTTATAAATGTCAAGTTAATTAAACTACAAAAGCTTGATTTTTGCAGGACATCCTGCAGCAATGAGCTCTGTCTGTCTGTCTGTCTGTCTGTCTATCTAATTCCACAGATATATAAACCTTCCTTGCCTAGTTTCCAACAGACCCCTCAGCCTGTGAGGATGGCTGCCATAGATATGGGTGAAATGTCAGGAGAGAATGGTTCTGGAACATGGCCCAGAAAACTCACAGCAACCTATCTTTAGGGAGCTTTGCCATTATAAAGCTGACCTCCTTGGGCCCAGCTCATGCCAGTAAGCCCTGTCTTGGGCACTTCGGTTGGATCTACACTGCCAAATAATGCAGTCTGAACTGCTTTAGATAGTACGATGTAACTGTTAGCCCCAGCTTCTGCCAACCTAGCAGTCTGAAAGCATGCAAATATGAGTAGATCAATAGGTAAGGGCAGTCTCCATGCAGTCATGCCGGCCACATGACCTTGGAGGTGTCTATGGACAATGCCTTCAGCTTAAAAATAGAGATGAGCACCACCCCACAGAGTCCTATAGGACTAGGCTTGGGAGCTAATCACACTAGAGAATTAATCCACTTTAAATCCGGTTTCTGCCTCCTGCAGAATTCTGGAGTTTGTAGTTTAGGGAGAAGCTTTTAACAGCCTCGTTAAACTACAAACCCGAGATTTCTGCAGGAGGCAGAAACCGGATTTAAAGTGGATTTAAACCACTGCTCTAGTGTGATGAAGGTGATTTTGTCAAGAGGAAACCTTTTCCTTTACTATGTAAAAACATTCCTGTTTTGAAAGTGTTATTTCCTATTTAATTGTGCAATATTTATTCTGAAAGTAGTTGTTATACTCCAGAAACCGTGGCTGCCACAAACTATGTGGAATTGATTGAGAGTGGATGGGATATTCACTGAAAAACTACAGCCTTTATGCTGCAGGATGTCTCACAAAAATTAAGGTTTTGTAGTTTAATTAACCTTTTACATATTTTTTTATGATAGAACCAATTAGGAAATGACATTTATTACCCAAGAACAAAAATCGTGTTACAGAGTTTAGTGTGGACTCATACAATGCAGTTCAATCTGTATTATCTATACGAGTGTAGCTCCACTCTTAGAGACCCTAAGAATGTCAAGGATTTTAGTGTCCCCATATACAGGGTGAGCCAAAAGTAAGGAAGAGGTCCTATATATACTGTATATGATGCTCTGGCACCATATGCAGAGTCAATCTTAAGAAATAGGGCTACAAAGGGAGTGTGGAGAAGAGCAAACCACAGACCGCTTACTACAATGCAGCCTGAGCCCTGCCACATACACAATGGAGGACCTTCTCACAGGAACACCAGAGGCACTCCAACTGGCCAGCTTCTGGTCAAAGGACATTTAGTATAATGCCAAGTATTTAACTGTGTTTGTGTTTTTAAATGCATTACAACTGTACCCTCAATTCACTTCTGTCACAATAAATATATATTGGATGCCATTTCCGAGCTGATTTTCCACACCTAATGTAAATGCATTTCCTTTGTAAATGAGCTATTAAATACTGAAACCCCTTTGTAAGTTTTGGGCCTCCCTGGACAAATATACTCTCGGTTATCCGGAACCCATCCACCAGAACTCTCAAATAACCGGCAAAAAAAATCAAAGATTAAAATAAAAATTGAAATAACAATCATTTCTGATTTGTCTTAATTTGTCCTCATTTGCTTTTATGTAATGCAGTTCAACAACTAATACCATGACAATACAGATCTTATAGTATGTGGTAGAGTATTAGTTAGGCCTATTTTTAATAGTAACTCTTCAGCCAGAAATTACATTTATCGGGCATCTACCAATCTCCATGTGTGCCAGTTAACTGAGAACCCTCCCACACAGCCCTATATCCCAGAATATCAAGGCGGAAAATCCCACAAAACCTGCTTTGAACTGAGTTATCTGAGTCCACACTGCTATATACCCCAGTTCCAAGCAGATGATGTGGGATTTTATTCAGCTGTGTGGAAGAAGCCTGAGAGTCAGATTATTTATTTATTTATTTATTTATTTATTTATTTATTTATTTATTTATTTATTTATTTCAAAACGAAACAAAATGTACAGCAAAGTGAAAAATGATGTTTATTTTTGTATGCTTCCATTTGAATCAATGTGAGAATTCCCCTCCTACCTTTTCTAACTGGAAAGTATTCTATAGTGGGACTTCATTTTTTGTGAAACTTGGTTTGGTTGCATCACTTTCAGTTTGGCACCATAGGGTCTATAGTAAACTAAATCCGGCAATGGGAAATTTCTCACCCCAGCCCTTCCCTTGATGCCCTAAACGCTGGTTAATCCTTCCCTGTTTCTGACACTTTTGGGTCACTCAGGCAAAGAAGACGCTCTTCTCCTTTGATTACTCCAGAGGAAGCCTCATGCAATGCTTTTGTTAACAATTAAATTTTTAAAAAAATTAAAAATGCTACACAACATTAGTTTCCCTAACATATCTGCTCCATTTTCATATTTTAAAATATCTTTAACTTTTGAGAGAGAGAGATCCCCTCTATACTATTTAAATATAACAAAATAAACACTGTATGTGGAGTATTCAAATAGCATGATATAGATCTCCACTGACCCTATAATGCAGTTCAAACTCCATTATGTACAATGTAGGTCCAGCCAGAGAGAGGGAAGGAGAGTCTGTTCTCTGACCAGGGTCAACTATATCCCCATAAAGATGGTCATGGATTATTAAGATGACAAAGGAAAAGAATGCTGGGTTGCTGTGAGTTTTCCGGACTGTATGGTCATGTTCCAGAAGCATTCTCTCCTGACATTTCACTCACATCTATAGCAGGCATCCTCAGAGGTTGAGAGGTCTGTTGAAAACTAGGCAAGTGAGTCTTATATATCTGTGGAATGTCCACAGGCAGCAACCAGCCAGGCTTTGAAGCTGCAAAGCCATTCAATGCTAATCAAGGTGGCCAATTTCAACATTCATACTTGCCTCAAATAGACAAGAGTTCTTTCTCCCACCCTGCACATTCCACAGATATATAAACCTCACTTGCCTAGTTTCTCCAACAGACCTCACAACCTCTGAGAATGTCTGCCATAGATGTGGGTGAAATGTCAGGAGAGAATGCTTCTGGAACTTGGCCATGAAGCTCTAAAAACTCACAGCAACCCAGTGATTCGGGCCATGAAAGCCATCTACAACCAAAAGGGAGTTCCACATTCAGTTATGAGGAATAATCTTGCAGAGATTTCAAGATCTACAGAAATGGCCTTTGCCCAGTTCCTGGCATAGCAATAGATTACAATTTCCTTCCTTCCTTCCTTCCTTCCTTCCTTCCTTCCTTCCTTCCTTCCTTCCTTCCTTCCTTCCTTCCT